ATAATTCGAAAAAGAAAACATTTTTCCACGTGCACTGTAAAAAATTACGGATCAAATTACGGAAAAAGTGCCGGCACACAAGGTGTCGGTAATTTATACCGTAAAGCCCATTTTAAAGGCATATATTACAGAAGAAAAAATTCATAAATCATAATTTTTAGAGTAATAATTACCGTACAATCACTGAATCAATCTAATTAAATAAATACTGCAGTACAAATTACTGTGTAATATTTTAAAGTAAAAATGGATTTTACGGCAAAATGGATTTCATGGATGGTGCACCCAAAGTGCCGTACTTTCTACCTTAATGTGATCAAGAATTTCTTACTGCTAGACAACATACCCTTCAAAAATTAGTTTTAAACAAAGACATTAAACAGAAACTTGGCTCAAAATATAAAATTTTAACATTTGCACAATATTTGAAACAATTTATTAAGTATTAATGCATGGACTCATTTTAAGCAAAGCATTATCACAAAACGTGATACCTCGGCAACTTTCTTCACAAAATTTTAAAACGAGCTTACATTCTAACTCAACTTCTAATGATATTATTTATCATTAGGGCGTAAGCTAGGGAAATCGATGACGCAAGAGATTGCTACGAAAAGAGTGCTCTTTAAATCTATAAAGTTTCCACAGATTCCCATTAATTTTTCTATCTTTCATATGAAGGAAACATTTTGAGAAAAATCTAATATACTGCGTAGTTAAAAGAGTTAAAGGACTTACGGGTATGCCGATAATTTCATGATGGATTAAGAACATAAAATCGGCTTTCCTACCCTTTGAGTTGAGAAGAAATTTGAATTAATTTCCATCTTCACTAGTACTGCCCGTTATGTAAGAAAATTTATGAATCTTTCCAAAAGTAGTTTAGGGTGTAATTTAATAACTTTATTCTTTATAACCGACGCTATTTACAAAGAATATTCTATTAAATTGCGTATCCACAATTATAAGAAAAATGAATGAGCTTTTTAAATATCAAATATCTTCTCAGTTCATTATGGTTGATTGATAGTTTTAGTTTTATCTTAACTTTTTAGCAGAAATTATTAAATTTGAAGCCAATGCTTGATATGAATATTTTAATGATAAATAAGTTAATTTGTTTAACTAAAGGAATAAATACTTCTCAAAATAATGTAATTTATAAATATCAACATATTAATTATGATTCAAAGTTTATTTTAAGCAAATTTTTGCATTAAAATGCAACGTTTATAGCGTTCATAGATTTTATATGGTGTTAATAAGCTCTAATGAATTGTTGATCAAAATCAAATTATAAAGGAACGGACAACTAGATTTGATGTTATAAAAGAAAAAAACATTAGAAAGCAATTTTTATAGCGTTCATAGATTTTATATGGTGTTAATAAGTTCTAATGAATTGTTGATCAAAACCAAATTATAAAGGAACTAGCAAATAAATTTTATGTTATAAGGGAGAAAAACATACTTTATGAAGAAGAGGGGGCTCTAGATTTTGCAAGAGACGTTAGCAATTTTTCTCGGCTTACTTTCAATAAAAATCTAAACACAGTTACTGGCACTTGAGCACGAATTAAAAAATCTGTCAGAATTACTGTACTGTATTGTAATGACATTGCTGGTATGAAAAATATATATAATTCTCGTTAATAAAACCCAAACAAATGGTATGTAAATGAACGGAATGAATTACCAAATGAATGGTTTAAATACCATATATTTTCGTTTTATTGCCAGAATTATGTTTTTTTTTTAAAGAAATTTCATTACCATGCAGTATAGCAATTGTATCAGAACTGAAAACGTTAAAAAAGTTGATTTTGTTTGATTCTTAGATTTAGATTTTGTTCCTTCCCAATGTACACACTTTTTACTTTCTTTTTAAAAAAAGGATTCTAAAAATATAAATTAAGGGTGAATATTACGGAACACCCTATGTAAAATAATAAATACCAGAATGAAATTATTGTACTCCACTTGATATTACTTGATTGAGTTCTTAAATGGTCAACATTATATATATTAAGTCAGCATGGTGCGTCCCACCTCAAACTGATAATAAATTACACTAAACAAAAATTAATTTTATATGAATTATGGTGTTAAATAACGGAAATACTGTTATATCAGCTATGCTATTGCGTAGACTACCGAAAGCTTAGATTTAAACAATGTCACTAACATCTGGGTAACATTATCTTAATGTGTTAGTAGCAGAGGAAAGCAATGTGAATGCTTCTTGGAAATTTGTAATGTTCTGAATACATTACATGTGGTAGTTTCTGTCAATGTGAAACGCATAGTTCCTACTATTTGTTACCAAACACAGTCTTTAAGAGTAATTCTGGCATTTTTAGAGTTTCGTTTGAAATTGAGCTTAGTCTGCACTTTCTACGAACCTTTAAGCGCGGAAAAATAAACATGTTCTTAATAATCTTTTTGTTCTCTTTGTTTTGTTATATTCAGTGTTCTTAAATTAAGAAATGTTTGTACCGAAGTGTTTTTAAGAAATATAAGCCAAAATCATGCTTTTGCTTAATTAGAGTGGAGTGTCTTTTTTCACTCATTTTATTTTATTTTTAATTTTTTTTTACATAAAATATTTTAATGAAACGTTTGGTAGAAGAATATTGAATTTATTAAAATGTATGGTTTTTATTATTCACCCCGCCTTTTTAATAAGAGTCAAAACTTTGATAAGATTTTAATAAAAAATTCATATTTCCGAGACTAATTTTCTTTAATATATAAACTACGCTCTACTGTATGTTCACAAACACGATATTCATACATGTGTGGCATTTGTTTCAATCCAAGTTGTTATTTTTTCATACGTTTCAGGAAGTTTTTACTAATAAACATTTTACTTTTCGAACTAAATTGCGAAATTTTTCATTTTTATGGCTATGTAAAAAAATTCAAGACACTTTCCAGACATGAAGTATTATTTTTTAATTAAAAGCTTGTTCTTTGTAAATATTTTAATTACCAAGCTTCTAGACTTTTTTTAAATCCTGGTTATCGTAATAATTAACATGTTTTTTCAGTAAAAAGAGAAAAAGAATGTTATAGTGCCTACAATGCTTTTGTATATTACACTTTTCTTAAAAGAGCCAAACGTCGATTGGTTGTTAAGTCTGGTTGTAAAAATGCATAACTTTTGTCCCGATATCATACTAAAATTTTTTTAGACGCTCGATAAAAATCAGACTTTGTTGCAAACCATCATGCGAAATTTCTGTAATTTTTACATATCATCTAAAAATATTTTAGCTTTTCTCTTTCATAATCAACTTGATCGAGTCATTCAACTAGATCAACATCGAGCACACGTAACGAGCTGATCGAAGTTGGAGTTGCTTTTATTTAAGAAAAAAACTCTCTATTACTCTGAGCCATGTTTTTGTTAAACTGTCACGTTGGCTTCGTTTCGTTTAACCAAGTCTCTGTTATAGTTAAATAAAACATAGAAAGAATATGCTGGCTTAGTAATATGGTTAAACTTGATACCATATCAAAGCTGCAAAGAATTTGCATAGTATTTACTGCTCAACATACTCCAACATTTTTTAATCATGTAGATTTTAGTTTTGTAAGTTATATTTAAAACATGATATGGGACATTTATTTAAAATACTCAATCTTTCAAGTTGCGAACTATTTTAACTATTTTAAGACTGGATATTAATAAGAAACATTAAATTATTTTTTCAAAATAAAACTTATATTTCACTTTATATGTTATAACCGTCCTTGAACTGCCGACCCAATATTTTGGTTTACGACTACTACTCTTCAACTCCGCAGCCTCGTAATTTTGAACCTAATCCGAAAGACAAGGGAACTACTCGATCAAGTATTGGGAGAAATTACCTTTGTTGAGGATTTTTTGATGTAACTAACCCGCATTTGCGTTACATGAAGTAGAAAATTATGGAAACTTCTCACGGTAAACCTGACGGCAGGGGGATGATCCGTCTACCACTGAGGATATTTTACGTCAGCACTGTTGTCGGTGCAAGCTAAATTCGTATACACCAGAGATTGCTGGGATTCGAACTCGGTTCACTTCATTTTAAGGCGATTTCTCTATCCCCTGAGCCATCACGGGTCAAAATAAAACTTAAAATGATTAATGCTTTGTTAATTTGGTATGACTGTTGAGGACATGCTAAAGCAATTCTAGTGAGCTATTTTATATAGTCTGGGATTCGATCTGGATTAAAAAGAAGACAATAGATTAAATACAAAGAAAATATTAAATCAAAGACAGTATTGTTTCTAACTGTACCACAACATGCCATGTTCTCTCCAACTATCCATTAATTTGAGGATATTTATTAAGAAAATGTGAGTGTCGACATTTCAAGCGCTGTGTGTTGATATTTCAGGCTCTGTGTGTGGACTTTTTCATCTCTGTGTGGGGACTGTTCAGGCTATGTGTGTGTGTGTTTCTGGCTTTGTATGACGACTTTTCAAGATTTTTGTTTGCATTTTTTCAGGCTCTGTGTGTTGATATTTTCGGCTTTATGGGTGGGGACTCTCTCACTGGGAAATTTTTTCCAAATCACGAGAGACAAAACCTTGAATTACTAAGCGATAAGACACCAAAGTACCAAAACTAGGAGAGATTCGAAACCTTATAAGAAATGTAATCGCACCAGCTTTTCTCGCGGAGAACAACATCCGGACCCAGATCAAGGTAGGTAAAAAACCAACCAACAGTGTTGAGAGAGCAACCCAATTTTAAAGGAAAAAAAATTATGTTTTGAAAACTGATTTATGACGTAAAGGTAACTTTCAAAACTGCTTTATCTCAAATTCCTTGAAATATCCCTCAACGCGTTTTTTTCCTCTGTATTCCTCAATTGTAACAGCATTTAAATTTCAGTGCGTTTTTATCATGCCACGATAATACATTATTAATAAATGAATAAAAATAATTCATGCCTTATTTATTATTACGATGTAACCTAACATTCCTTTTTCTGTTTCAGCTATCCAACATGCATTTCTCCGTAGCTTTCAGCTTGATCTACACACTTCTCTTATCAAAGATCAGATCGAGTTTATCGGCAACTGTAAGCGCAGTCCATGTTTGCGCCTACTCTGCTGACACTACACAGTACACACCAAATTGCTACGACTGCATTCAAGATGTCTACAATAATGCTCTTATGGCCTGTCTCAATGCATCAGCAATGCCAAAAAATATCACTTTCAAAGCTGCTAATTGCATGGAAGGAAATTGCAAAATTCCGTATTTCACTCCAACTACTCCAGAGGTAGAAGATGTCCCACCCATGTGGGATTTCTTCAGTAAGCTATTTTTGGCTGGTGGCAGCGGCTCTAGCGCTTTTGCTAGAGCTAAAAGAAGCGTTAAGGATAATTCTGTTGATAGCATGAGCCCTTTTTCCAGTCCGATGAAATTTAATATTGTGAAAAGGGTAGAAACCGTAGTTGGAAAACCAGAAATGAGAGAGACTGAGCTAGACTACGAAGAAATGTAATTATTATAAACTGGACAAATTTATTGCAAGTGGATGGAAATTGAAATTTCAGTATGTTGTATTCTCCCCCAAATACAAAATGGCAAATCTGTATTGTGTTTAGATTTTAATTTCGGATAATAAATTCTAAAATTCACTCCCCTAAATATTTATGACTCTTAAATATTAATTATCAGAAATGTTTGAGATGCATTATTTGATATCTTTTGTTAGATTTTTTAGACACATTATTTGATGAAACGTTAGATATATTATTTGATGATGTTTGAGAAATGTGTTGTTTCGAACTCAATATAGGGGATAATCCGGCATTGGTACCACAACAAACAACTTGAAATTGGATTGAAATTGAATTGAAATTGAATTGAAATTGAATTGAAATTGAATTGAAATTGAAATGACTACGTATTAGACGTTACTTAGATAGTTTGCCCCTTTTTATGATGGTTTTTAGTTTTTTTATTACCACAACTCGGCAAATTATTACAACTATCTTGATGCAAATACTAATAAAAAAATGACCCTCCATAATGTACATTATAATTCGTTTATTCAAACTAAATGTTGTCTTTTATGTACTATCATTGTACCGTAGCTTCAAAAATTATGTACCAAGACAAAATTGTAATTTATTGCTATGCGAGATTGTATTTCATTAAATATGTATCATCTGTTTTAATAAAAACTCCATTTTAAAATTCAGTGAGTCATTAAAAAGAGAAATTCATTATTTATAAAAGCCGTGTACTGTTATTTTAATGATTTCCACGAATCATGTTCGCATTATACTACCTTCTCAACTACCATAAAATAAACTTTTGTCTTTAGTTTTATTTTACTAAGAAGCCATTGCATAAATCTGAATTTTATTTTTCTAATTATTTGTTTGAATACTATGTCTGATTTTGTAATGATCTTAGTAAGTTATTTAAGATTTGGAATTTTCTCCTGTTATGTAAGTCCCAAATATATTTTTGTGTATGCTTGCTTATCAGTTTGGTTATATTTCCCCCAAACTATATCCTTGTCAGATGCAGAGAGTATGAAGAAGATAACGAGGGGAAAAAAACATAGACTTATAACGTTGGGAGACAGATTACCATGGGTTACTTGTGGATTCAAGCATATGATCACGTTATCACATAACGAGATACGTTAGATTTAGAGAGAAATAGAGAGCTAACTTTGGCGTAATTTCACAGTGAATAACTATATATTTTGTAACCTGTTGGGTAAGTCAAAGGCGATTTCACGAAATTTCTTGAACTAAATTTAAATGTTTAAATTGCAGTTGTTAAGGCGACAGCCTCATTATAACACTAGCCACGTAATAACATACTCGTAAAATATCATTATCTGATATTTGAACCAACTGGCTGGGTGGCGCAGTTGGTTTTTCTTCGGCCTTCTGAGCCCAAGTGTGCGGGTTCGATCCCCGCCCCAGACACCGGATTTTCGGGAAGCAGAAAATCTTCAGCGGTCATGTCGTATGATTATGCGGCATGTAAGAGATCCCTAGAGTGTCTTATTGGCTCTTGGCATTTACGGCAAAATTAAATTCCAAGTGCACTTTAGCATCCAAATAGAGTCTTGGTGCTGCCACCTAGTGTGGCAGAAACTAGACGTCCAAATTCAACTATTTATTCTGAAAGTACCATTAATTCTTCTACTTACATAATTTTAAACAAATTATTTCCATGAAATAATCAAAACGAAAGTACTTTACTAAACAGGAGTGAGCATCATTTTTAATAGGTGTGAGAAAATCAATTAATTAATAGTGTGCTCAAGTACACATGATCACGCATGTCACAATGAGTCCTACATAGCGGGTTGTGCTCGACATATTATGCTTTAACTTTTCTATTTTTTACAAAAATCAATTACATATTTTGATACAATTATCTTAAAAGGTTAAACTATCGAAAAATGCAATTGTATTTTTAATGTTGTGAAAATTTTACTGTGTGACCACTTAATAAATATAACTGGATGAAGCGATCAGCTTCTTACAAGGCTGAAATCAAATGAAGAAACTTGTAAAGTTGATGGATGTTCAATAATTTATCCTATTCACCAAATTTAGTGGGGCCTCCCTAGCCGAGCGGTATCGCCGGTCCAAACGCTCTGTTAAGCGTGGAGGTAGCGGGTTCGAATCCCGCCGTAACCCTGGATGTATTCTTTGTGATGTCTTTCTCTGAATTGTTCTATCTGTATTTTCTACTTGACAATGACTTATAAGCCTATATATTGAGCACACAAGTCAGCAAATGTATGTAATTTCAATAAATAAACCAAATTTAGTGGTGATTATGAATAATCAACAATTATTATACACAATCATCAGTTTACCGTATCATGTATAACGAGTTTTATATTTGAACGACGAAGAAAGAAACTAAATATGTTATGACTTGAGAAATAATCACCTATAAGTAATCCCAATAACACACAAGCGAAAATTATGATATCCAGTAAAAACAATCCCGATCTTTACATAACATTGTATTATCTGTAGTGAAATGAAAGTTTAAAATTCCATCGCGTAATTTTAAATTAATTATGTTTCTTTTTTCTCTGCAACAAATATAATTATTTGGTCCTCAGCTACGCTCAAATTTTAATGACTTAGAAAAATCTTTAAAAATACCTTTAAAAATAATTAAATATGCCCTCAATATAAATAACCCTCATTATAACTGAACTAGAATTTCAACCGGAAACATTATTATAATATCCCTCTTCTAATTTGCATTCCACCCACAGTTGTTTTTAATATACATTTATAAATAGAATTTGAGATGCATTTCAGTATCATTAGAAGTCTATTTTTAGAGAAAAAATTTTTACTAGAAAAATAATTTATTTCGTTATTTATATGAATTTGGTTTTTGAGAAGTTTGAAGAATCAATGCAACTTTTATACGACAGCAAGCAGAACTTTACATTTTGAACTGAAACTATTTAAAATTTGTTAAATCGGTGTCAAAATAAATATATCAAAAGAAATTAAAACGCTATTCAAGATAAATTTGTACAGTATGAAAAATCACCCTGAGTTATGAAATCAGATCCAAAAAAAATTTACTTTCTCTGTAAAAACATACCTCTTTTTCGAACGATTCAAATTTCTGATTCCCAAAAGTAGGAGGTACCCACAACCAGAGAATCACGGTTTCAATAGTTTGGTCGGGAGAGGGGTCCAGGGCCTGGGCCCGCTAATGCTAATTTGTAATAGCCCTTTTCGAATTTCGCTATATCTCGGAAAAAAATTTATGCTAATCAAAAAATTCATTATTATTTTTTACCATTATTTTATTTAATGTCAGTTAAAAATATCTTAAAACTGTAAAGTATACTGTTTTTATACTATTTTCATGAATTAATTTTCTGTCTTAAAATTCAAAATTTAAACAAAATCGGGCAAATAGTTTCTGAGAAATTAAATTCAAATTAAAAATTCACTAAAACTAACTTTCTCAAGAGCTATTTGACTGATGCCATTCAAATTTAGCATTTTGTCACATAAAATTGCATTAAAAATGATGTAAACATTTGTATACCTTGCAGTTTAAAATTGTTTCGATTATTAGTAAATAAAATAATAAAACATACTAAATAATTATTAGAAAAAATTTGTGTATAGAATTATCTTTGGATAATTAGATTTTATAATTGAGTGCAAAAATTTACAGTTTTACTTTAAAAATGCTTGCGATATGTCGAAATGCGCAAAAAGTAAAGTAAATATTGAGGGGTCCAAATTTTGGGGTGTGCTCCTGACCAAGCTGTTGCGACCATACTTCCCAAATTGCATCTGTCCCAACATTTTGAGAGTCAAAAATTCAAATCTGTTAATTAAAAATATATTCATTCAGAAAAAATGCGTTCTTACGGTTGATTTTTTATTTTAAAATATTTCTTGGATTAATTAATTAGCATATTTGAGGCTACCTCCTCGTTCATTATTGAGGTTACCCCCTCGTACGCCAATCATTAAATTAAAATTTATACAGGGGGATTTATTTTGCCCACTGGCTATTATCTATTTTCGGTAGAAGAATTACTATTTAGTGGACGAAGTAATATTTTACTGTTATGTATGGGAAATTAGTTTTTAAGAAATCTGATCAATTGATACAACATTTGTATAACATTGAACGACAGCAAACAGACCTTTACAATTTAAACCATAAAAAAATTAAATCTGATAAATCATTTGTTTTCCTAAGTTTTTCACTGAAAAATAGAATTTTATAAATAAATATCTTAATCTTGGAAAAATTTGTAAACAATGAAACACATTTAAAACTTAATTTATTTATATAAATAAATACAACAATAAGTGTCGTGTTATTAAATTATCCACCTTAGTTTCGCATGAAATTAATAGGAACGTGTCCACAGCAACACCACAATTATATATCCTCACTTAATTTCTCCTCCAGAGTTATTTGTTAAAGTTAATTTTTGTTTAACTAAAAATAAAATGAAATTCGTTATCACAACGAACTATAGGGGGAGTTGTTGCATGAGACGAACTCCTGCGATTTCCATATGAACAGTCATTCAGTTGCTCTGGAGCCGTCTTTAATGTAGCGTGTAGCATTGGAGCGCTCCTTCTTTATTGTGGCTTATTAAATTTACAAAAACCAAAATGTTTGATATTCTTTCCTATGCAAGCGAAAGCAAAATGGTATCTCTTTTTTTAGAGAAGGTATATCTAAAACACATCGAAAAATATTTGTAAATAAACAGGAAAAAAATGCGTATCTTCTTATTAGAGTGAAAACCAGAGATATCGTTTTGCTAAATTTAATGATGTAACATGAAAGGCCTACGTAAACTTTACATTCCATAGTTTCAAGAATCGTATTACTTCAAACATTAAAATAAAAAGTATACATAAGCTCATAATTTTATATCATTTAATTTTGCAAAAAACGTTTCTTGACAACAACTTTTATCAAAAAATTTTAAATTTCAATAAAAATCATTATTTATAAACTAAACAACGTAAAATAAAGAATGCTTACGAAACAAAAAAAAGCAATTCTAAAAGTTCCTCACATTAAAATAAGAAACTTTCATGTTTTTTTCAATCATAATCGGACGTAGAAAACCGTTCTATAGAAAATTATCATCAAATAAGAAAATAAATTATTTACAAATAAAATTATTTATTATAAAAATTCTAAAATTATCTGCTTTATAAATCCGGAGAATTCCAAAATGATATGTTCATCATTTGAAAACTTTATTCTCAAATAATATATACATAGATTATCCCTTCATTACTTTAAGATGACATACCACATAATAAAATTTTATAATTGCAAGATCTCGACATAAATTTCAATATGTGACTTAAAAACAGAAACTGAATTCAAGTTAAAATTTATCATTCAAAATTAAAAAATACTTACCAAGAAAACGATAAAAAATTATTAATAATCAACACAAATAATACTATTTCAAGTTATTTGGATGATTCGTCACTGTTGTTTTTCGAATTATATAAATACAGAAATATATACTATTCTATAAAGAAGAAGATTATTCTGTAACTATTACAGTTCCGTCCATTGTGAAATCACATTTATTTATTGGAATGAAGTAAGCAGTGTTGCCTTCACTTCAATTTGTAATGAATCGAAGACGGAAAAAAAAACTTTTTTTTTACCGTAATACACACATCTGTAATAGCAAGCGATCATGAAATCGGAAGTTATGTTGTTGATAATAGAAAGGTAAAAACTATTGAGAAATTCTTCAAATGTTTTGCTCTTTCTGTTTCAGAAAGCTTTACCGATGTTCAGGATCGTTTTTCAAGTTCTTCTGCATGTTCCTAATGAAATTTTGCTTCTTTTTTGCTGCCAAGAAAATGGCGTCAGACTTTGCCAATGATTATGATAGAACTAAATGCCTGATGTTTTCAGGCTTCCGCTAGAGGGCGTACTCAAGCGTTGCGATCGTGAATGAAATAAGT